TTCAGATTTCTACGATTACCCTTCGATCGATATTAATAAAGTCATACGAATGCATATATTGCTTTAAGTGTCGGTATCGCGTAAGAAATTCCGGTACGAGAAAGAAGATTAATCTTCCATAAACATTGTTTTTCGTTACTAATGTCTTTACATTTCATTAATCATTTTTATCTACGTATGTAAATAGAGCTGTTAATAAACGCGTTCGTCAATGTTTTTCCTTCTGGAAAACCTTACAGAGAAGAACTTAGTAGCGAAAGACAATGTTTATGGAAGATTAATCTTCTTTCTCGTACCGTACTGTGTGTCTGAAAAATTAATTTTCATAAATAATTAAGAATTAGAAGCATTAAACTGTTATTGCGACAAATATTACCGTATGCCTAGAGTCTAGAGAGCCGCCTAGAGTCTAGGGAGGTCCAGGTTGAAACCCTGGCTGAGGTAATGTTTTTCGCAATGAATTTTCTCTAATTAGAATTGCCAGTTGCGTCGTTTAACAATTTTTCTACATTGCTAAATAATTAGGCTTCTAAAAATGTTTCTGGTCAATAATCACTGCGTGTATTACGTAGAAACAAGCTGAAACAGCCCTTTTCATGTTAATTTATCACGGCAATATCAATGCTTCGATAGAGTAATTCGATAATTGCGAATGCCGGGCTACTGCATTTGCGGCGAAACATACGTACATTCCCTTCCACGGTTCTAGCGAATAACTCCGGTAGTGAGTAATTTAATTACTCGCGGATACGTGCAACAGCGTTTTCTAAAGGAAAGGTAAACGGAGTGGGAATCGGTCGTGCAAAAGAGGAAAGAAAAGAAAAGCGATAACGCAAGTAAAACGGAAGCGACGACTGTGTGCCGAACGTATAAATAAAGGCGCACCGTGAGGATTTTAGTAAAAGCGTTTACTAAAGTAACATCGAGTAGAGTTACAGCTATAGAAATTTAATTACATACCGCGAGAACGATTCAAGTCCGTGCGGGGAGCTGAAAACATTTAATCGCGCATTTATTCGCCAATTACACAATTTCTTCTGTGATCCCGTTTGCATCATGTTCATCGGATAATTCGTCTAATCGGCCGCTGAGACTGGAAACTGAGTGCCTCGCGGCAGGCGAGGCAAAGTCAGAACTTTCGCCCACGCTCTCGGCGCGTAGTACTATGTCCCGGATACGGCGTTCACGTGCGTGCGCGAGCGCAGTGCAACGGAGTAAAGCCCGTGTCACACTACTGATTTCGGATTGCGGGTCGCGGATCACATTTCAATCAGACGAAACAGCCTCGGGCCCGATTGGTTGAATTGCGATCCGTAATACGTAGTGTGACACGGGCTTAAGCCCGTGTTAGACTACGGATTGAGATTGAGATTAGATTGAAATTTGACCAATTAGAGTAAAAGTCACTGAACTTGAGATTAGTAAACTTTACTCTGATTGGTCAAATTTCAATCTAATCTCAATCTCAATCCGTAGTCTGATACAGGCTTTAAAGTCTGTGTCACACTGCGTATTGCGGATTGGATTGAGACTGCGGATCGCGGATCACATTTCAGCCAATCAGACGAGACAGCCTCGGACTCGAATGGTCGATTTGCGATCCGCAGCACGTAGTGTGACACGGGCTTAACGGGCGCGCTGCGTTTTCCGCGCGGTGGGAACCGCGAGATCGAACTCGCGGAGAGACAATTTCAAGTGGCGAAATCGCGCTGACGGGAGGCAGACGCGCGATTATTCGCGCTTGGGAGGACTGAGCTGATTTAATTAAACTTCCCCTACGCGGTGTCACATGGGACACGAACACAGCGTCTGCGAGACTCGGTCTTAATTTTAACGACAGGATCCGCGACGAATTGAATTCATGTAGTGCAAAACGTAGAATTAATGCTAATTCTCTAGAAAGTTAATTAGGAGAGTCTATTAGAAGGAGAAATAGAATTAAACATTTTATCTTTAGCTGGAACAGCAATGTTACGTCACAGCGCATAATAATATCTTCTTCTTCTTCCTCGTGTAGTAGGCCTCAAGCCTGTTTTGTCCAGTTCATTCTGGCACTTTGAGCATTTGGTTTCACTTCATCCTCGGCTTCTAGAATTAAACATTTTATCTTTAACTGGAACAGCAATGTTACGTCACAGCGCATAATAATATCTTCTTCTTCTTCCTCGTGTAGTAGGCTTCAAGCCTGTTTTGTCCAGTTCATTCTGGCACTTTGAGCATTTGGTTTCACTTCATCCTCGGCTTCTAATCCTTGCCGAAGGACACCTCCTAACCTGGAGGGCTACAACCCTTGAAGGGGTACACGTGGCAGGACGCTCTCGGTGGTTGCCACCTTCCCTCCTCGTCATCGGTGATAATATCGATGCGATCAAATGTAGAGAAAGGCTCTCCTTCGATACACCCGCGGCATATTGCAACAAACTTTCTTTAACTCGTGACGTCGCGGTTGATAGAGCGCAGTATGTACACTCATGAAAGTCATTTTTCCCAGGCGACCCGCGGTAATACCTCGATACGTTCACCTTGGCACACATTTGGCTAGATCTACAAAAGCTATACGGACAACTGATTCGCGCGCATCCGACTCTGCCGCCGCGGGAATATTATCGGGCGCGATTAGGCTACGTCGCAACGACTATCGCGTTGGGCTATCGGCGAGCGATGTTACTCAACGTTTAATTGTGCGCTACTTCGACGTTACTCAGCACAACGCACAACAACAATTATCTCGAGTGGAAAGCAAATGTCGCTGCTTTCGTAACGCGACGTTTAGACGCCACATTTAGAAAATGCCTGCCTTTTATCTTTTTCTTTTTTTTTATATAACTACGTACTAAAACTTGCATATCGTTTCGCAAATATAATGCAGATCCGTGCGCACAGTTTCTCGAGAATCGCGTGAGAATCGCATTAAGTTGCAGGAGAGGCAAGCGAGAATCGTGAAATCGTTATTCAATAACGAAATTTTAATAAAGGGACCAAAGAGAAAGATTTTGAAAAATTCTGCGAACAGATTTCCGTGCCTAATAAAGAAGAAATTTCGAAAAATTGTGTCGTCGTTAAAATAACATCTTTTTTCGTGTTGGAACTTCTGTATGATTCTATGACTTCCGCGCATATAATTATCGTATCACTCGTTATCGAAACTCGCCAGATACTGGACCTTGAACGTAGAAACTGTTGCCACGCTATTCGTTGACGAAAACAGGAAGGAAAAATATTATCGTTGCTCCTGTTCCGTTTAGCTGAAGAAGAAATAATCAAATGATACGTCAGTATAGTGCGTGTTTCGTGCCACATTGCATCTCTTTCTCCGTTGTTCGGTATAGAAATATCAGCAAATATGAACTTGCACTACTAAATACCATTATTAGTTTTAGTTTTAAATCTTTACTGGTAGTATATTAGTTTTTCATCAATTCGGAATACGAAGTGCCACCAGATATTAACATGGGACAATTAAAACCTTTGTCTTCGCTCTATTTAGTGAAACCATATTATCTCTTGTCAATCCACGGACTTTCGTAAACGCGCTTCGAAGTGTGAATGATGACAAAGTGAAAATAATTATCCAGCGAAAGCAAAACTCGACAGAATCTACGTATCTATCTTAGGAATGTACTAATCATCGAAATCGAGGATTTCCCGGGAAACCAATAGAAAAGCAGTAGACCAGAAAGTTGGATCTTATAAAAAGAGAACTCTCAAACTGTAACAGTAGCTCCTCTACGGTTCCAGTTCAAGGTCTCAGTGCATTGTGCTTACAAAACGGTCCATTGTATCAGTGCAAGCTTAAAGATTATTGCAAGTGAAGTGGCGAGTGCTTCTTTTTCGAATGAAAACGATTTCTTGAATCTCACAATGGCAAAGGGTGCGCGTTATTCAACTTTCAAGGAATCTTCGACTCGAGGTTCCTGGACCATTGGCAAACCGATACAGCGTCTCGCTTCGAATTGGTTACTGGAGAGCTGCTGCTGCGGTTCCTGTTACGCGGGACAAAAAGCAGTCTCGCGCGCGGAATCGAATAACGCGAACGAGATGGACCGAAAGAAGAATTCGGAGTCCATCGAATCGCAGATTCCATCAGTCGATTCTGTTAAATGGAAAAATAACGGTCAACTCGCGGAGGAAGTGTCTTTGACGAAGCACGACTATGAGGTGTCGGAAGACGAGTTTCTAGCATTCAGCGTCAATGCGGAAGGAGCTCCAAATCACAAAGATGATTCCGCGATCGATACCTCGCACTCGAAGAGCAAATTCTCGTTTGGCAGCGGAACTCTGAGCAGCGGAATGAAACGCGTAATCGAGAGTCTGCCCGTCCTTCCCAAGAAGGAGAAGAAATCACCGTCGGTTAGTGACGAGAAGAAAGCGTCGCAGAGCGACTCGGAGCTGAGATATGCCACGAGTATCTTCGCCAAATGCTCGAAGCGAGACGGGCAGCAGCAAGTGTCCACGATAAATATTCCCGAACTGATAATAAGTTAGTAAAGGATTTTAACAGCTGCGAGAGATTGTCAAAAAAATGTAATCGTGTATTCATTTTTAATTTTGATCTAAATATAAATGTAATGAGACAAATATAACACTTATAAAGTATATATAAGTAAATGTAATTTGTATGAAAAATGCAAATCTTTCAAGCGCAAATCAAAATTACTTCAAATAACAATTTCAAAGAGCACTTTAGAAGATTATAAAGTAATCATTGTTTTAGAATAATCTTAAAAATTAAGATAGTGAAAAAAATAAATAAAGACTATTGTTATATACCGCACACTATATCGAAACATGGGAAATAAAAATTAAACCAACGAAAGCTACATTCGTTAATTCGTTTAGCAATCTAGCAAGATCTCTGAAACTGTACTGGTCGAAATAATCGTTTTATCTTGAAACTACCATGATTCTATTTCTCGAATGTTCGTTCTTGTTGTCTCTTGATAATTGAGCGCCGAAGTATAAGTCAATTTGAATAATCAAATTTCCTCGTGATATTACAGACGACGGAAGCAGTTTGTCGGAAGCATGCAGCACGCCGATTATCGGAGCAGGATCACGAGCAGGCTCTAGTCATACAGTCCTAGACATGGACGACATCGATCCGGGCCATCTCGCCACTCGCTCGTCTCTGTCGAGTCTCGGGGTAAGTTGCAACTCGTGAAAAATATCCTTTTCGCCTATTATGCATGGAGAATGGACGTCAAGATTGCAGCCGTGTTTCGCTCGAACCCATCGCCCTTCCCGACTTTCGAAAGAAACCGTACCCTATTATCGCAATTTAACGCGAAGCCGATTACAGTATCGCGACTCGCTCGGATTAACGGAACGGGAGACCAGGCGCTCTCTCGTCGGAGAACGACGCGAATTTTACGACGCCGAGAACGCCGTTTTAAAGTCCTCACGACCCTAATTCTCGCGATTCCAGGCACGCTCGGACTCGATGGCCTCGGTATATAGCGGTGCGGGCGAGGGACGTTGCTGTAGATCCGTGGTCGTCACAGGTGAGGTAGAATTCGCCTTGCAGTACGACTACAAGAATCTGACGTTCGAGGTGCACGTGACCAAGTGCAAGAACCTCGCGCCCGTGGATGTAAAGCGCAAACGATCGGATCCGTGAGTACCTCACTTGTAACTTACCGCAATATACGTGTCTATTTCATTTCTTTATCTAATAATTTAAGTAAAACAAATTTTGTTCAATGTCTTTTTTGCGCAAAACTCTACATTTTACTCTTATTCGCAACTTTTTACCTCTTCCTTTGCAAAAGTTCTTCATTTGTTGTTTACAAAAGGCGAAAATATCGTGAAAATGAAATACGGAGTTTAGCTTTTTATAATTTACTATTCCTTTCCCGGCCAGTTACGTGAAGGTATATCTGCTGCCGGACAAGTCAAAGAGCGGTAAGAGAAAGACAAAGGTGAAGAAGCACACGTTGAATCCAGAATTCAATGAGACGCTGAAGGTAAGTTGTTCAAAGTAGTGAATCTAGCACGGAGACGTAAGCCGCTTGTTTGCATGACAATCAGAGATTCGATGTTTCGTCATCGCGCGGTTTTAGTTCCATATGAGCCTGAGTGGCCTGGAGACGCGAACGCTATGGCTGACGGTTTGGCACTCGGACATGTTCGGCCGCAACGATTTTCTCGGTGAGGTGCGAATGCCGCTGGAGAACAAGATATTCGATGATCCGACGCCACACTGGTATCCCCTTCAAGAGAGGGTAAGTTCGTCGCTAATTGCAACATTAAAATAAATTACCGGAGATAACGGCGCCGACTTTCCTTCGGCGAGAGATTGAGAAGCGTTATCTCGAAATTTTAAAGCTATCATTGATTGTTTCCGAGTGAAGTAAGTCCCTGCTCATTGTGCATCGGATGGATTGCGTCATTATGCATTTAGCAACTTGCGTCACTGTGCATTCAGCGGAAAACTATGTTGTCATTCTTTCCATCGAAACAGAAACGCAGGCTGCAACTTCGAAGCTGCTTAATTAAAGTGCTTTTGATGTGGTCAATACGAGCGCATGTGAATGCAAAATATATGCAGAGTATTTTTATATACAGCACCCTCCATAAGTTTGGAAACACTGTACAAAAGTGTGTGAAATGTGAAAGAAATACATAATGAAATCGATGTATTTTGCTTTGTAAGTGTTTATTTAACTAAAGAAAATTAAAACGGAGATGCATACGTACGTACGACAAGCTTTTAATAAAGGTTTAAATTAAATTTTAGTTTCCTCAAAGTAACCACCTTTTGCTTTAATGACTGCCTTGCATATTCGCGGCATGCGATAGATTAACTTTTGCAGAGATTCAGTCGGGATACGTTTCTATTCCTGCCGGAGAATCTCCCAGAGATGCACTTCACTCGTAATTCGCTCTTTGTCGAATCCTTTTGTCTAATTTGTTATTTAAACGTATCGTAATTTTATCGATATTTAAACGACTTATGATATATTTATACCAAACATGTGCACAGATCGCTGCTGTGCTACTATTTATCTGTAAAATATAGGATGTTTCCATACTTATGGAGGGTACTGTATTATATAATTATTCTTATATATTATAAATATGTGTCTTAAGGATAGTCAAATATATCAAATATGTGAAATTTTTATTTCTTAGATACTATAATATCAGGAGAACACCGAATAATATAATTTTTTTAAGTATACTAAATAAAATTTATAATTGCAAATAAATTATCGAGTCAGCTAGAATTGGTTAAAGCTCTTTGATGTTCACTCGAGGATTTTGACATTTAAAATCTTTTTTTTTATACAAAAAATTTGTAATACGGAAAGTCGCTTTCGTGGACAAAATTCTGATCTACACAAATACGTCAAGATCTCCTTTAAGACATAGAAAATACGCGAGTTATCACGTTATAATAAATGCTCACAGACGGAGCCGTTCGACGATCCGGTCGCATACAAAGGCGAGGTGATCGTTGGCCTGAAGTTTGTACCACCGGATCCGGCACAGCAGGAGCGCGAGCGGGAAAGCAGCGCAGAACGTAGCAATTCTAAAGCGAAGAAGAACTGGAGCCGCGGCGCACTCCACGTGCTCGTCAAGGAGGCCCGAAATCTACAGACGCGCGGCAAGAACTCGGGTACCTGCGATCCTTTTTGTAAAAGGTACATCTACTTTTGGCAGCCGTTTTGTAATTTTAACATTTCGAGTGTTCTTACACGCGCTTAATTCCTTTCAGTTATTTGCTTCCCGACAAAGGGCGATCCGGTAAGCAGAAGACCGGCGTCGTTCGTAGATCTGGCGGCTCGCCGGTTTGGGGTCACACGTTCATCTACAAAGACGTTAGTTTACAAGAATTAGCGGAACGTGGATTAGAATTGACAGTATGGGACCATGATCGAATCGCTAGCAACGAATTCCTTGGCGGCGTTCGGTTTAATCTCGGCACCGGTACGTATACAATATGCATATAACATTGCTCTAAATTGTACCTGGATTATTAATTTCATTAATAATCTTCTTCTTCCTCGTGTATTAGGCTTAAAAGCCTGTTTTATCTAGTTCTTTTTGGTACAGAACGAACCGGTACTTTGAGCATTTGGTTTTTATTTCATCTTCGGTAGGCTGCTAACCTTGCCGAAGGAAACCTCCAATCTGGAGGGCTGTACCTCTAAAAGGATATGTGTGGCAGAACACTCTCGGTGGTTGCCACTTTTCTTCGGGAAATGCCGAAAAAACCAGTGGTGTCCGTGGATTTGAACTCGGATCTTTTCGTTCATTTTTTTACTAAGCAGTTCTCTGCGCCACACTCGCCACTTATGTATTAACATCCGTGTATTAATAATCGCATTATCTTTATTAATACAATATCTTATCCCAAAGGGAATAACTAATAATGGCTTCGTCGAAGAAAATGAATGAAATCGTCAAATCTCGTAGAAGACGATTTAATTAATAAAATGTCATTTCCACTGATTCAGTTTGCTGTATTCTAAAAGTTTGCTAAAAATATTCTCTTGCGGTTTGCGATAATACAACTATAAACGCGAATATCTCCATTTCAGGGAAGCATTATGGGAAACCGGTGGACTGGATGGACGCAACCGGTCGCGAATTGTCACTCTGGCAGAACATGCTCGAGAGGCCGAATTTCTGGGTCGAGGGCGCTGTGACATTAAGGCCGAACTTGCACAATCACGGGAAGAACAACGGTACTTAAAAGCAGCAACGCAATAATGTCACTTTCTTCCCAGTTCTTGTTTCCGAGAGAGAAACGGCTCGGAAACGCCGATTTAGTCCAAGTCGATTGTACATAGCTCTAAAGCGTCGCGCTCACAACGGACGTGATCTTAAATATTTGCGAACAAAGAATCAGTGCCTTTGGAAGCAACGTAAACTCGTCTGATCTTCCTGAATGGGCATAGGCGAAAAATCCCTGCGAAATTCCCGCCAGCCGCAAAATTGCCTGCAAGATTTTTAGCCTGGGGCCGATGAAATATACACTCGATGTCGGTTCTGAGCATCATATCTTATATAACAGCTGTAAACATTAAGTTATTTTGAGTTCCCCGTCTATTCTTATTTCTACGTCGTCCATTGTCAATTTCTGTAAAAATCGTGATTTTAAATTTCTCTAGAAAATTTTCAACATAATTTCTAATGAACACATTGGAAAATAGTACAAGATGCTTGCTTCTATGGTTTTTTTAAACAAATTTCTTTTATATATTCGTATTTCTTTGGTTGCTTCGCTTTGACTGTTCCAGAAATATAACAATTAGTATGATGAAAAGTAGACTTTAGTTGTTGTTTTTTTTTATTTGTTTGCTGATGCTAAAATTTAATTTAAAAGGTACAGCATACCAAAATATTTACAAAAATAAAAATCGATCCTCATTAAGAAAATATAAATATTAATAGGAGTATGATTTTAAGACGCAAATAAAATATTTCTGCTTATTAGAAAATAAATTATTAAGGCATCGTTTATTAGATTCTTTAATTTTTTATTTATTTATTTTTCATCGTATGTTTTTTTTATGCAAAACTGGAATTCATAACAACGTAATATTAACATAATGGACGTGCCAAATGTGAAAAGTTATGGCGAAATCGTACAGTAATAATTTTCCCGGAATGTTTTGAGATAAAATTATAGCTTACTTAATTTGACTGTTATTCAGTTTCTAAAAAATATTTCTTTTGTTGTCACAACTTTAACCGTACAATAGCAAAGCGAAGTATATCTTGGTTTTTTCTTAAGCTGCGTCTTTGTATAGTTCTATGTATAATTATTGTCGTAATTCTCCCTTGTTGCGTTTAATTACGAAAAAAGCCTCAGATAGATAAGCTGTGCAAGTCATTCAAATTTGTGCAATATTATAGAGCATTGATAATCATTGAGAAATTATCGTTAGGTTTTCGAAACACCCGAAACGATATGAAAAGCAAAAAATGCGTCCGTCCAAAACAACTGGCAAAATGATACCCACACGCATACACATATGTGCGCTCTTTGAAGTAGCGAAGATATGGCGAATGAGCCGAGTTCCAAACGTTGAATTCACGAAGTATTTCATAATTTCGCGAAATTCTACCTCACAAAAAAAAAGAGAGAGAGAGTCCGAAAATTAATCCGATGACAACAATGATAGTTCAAACATTTTTAGACTTTACAATAGCGTGCTGTTAGTCAATAATTATTAAAAAAAAGATTGTAGTAGTATTACATTTATCATTAAGAAGTGTCGTAAGAAGCAAATGAATGAAGGGACCGATTTTTTTTACATTTTGAGATTATCGGTTTTAAAATTTGATTAACATTGCGTGGGACATCGTCTAATCCATTTTCACCAAAAAAAAGAACTTATGTAACGGTGATAATAATTCATATGTGTGCGATGGAAAACTCGGGTCTTTTATAAAAATAATGATACGCTTCCTTCGTTCATTCGCTTCTGATTGTCATTTACCAAGTGGATCGGAAAAAAAGCGTGATCGCAAGCTCAGCGTTTGGAACGTCTGAACAACGTTGTGGACACTTTCCTTTCTTGGAGAGAAAGATGCTTCCAGTGTGTACATTAGAAAACGAGCGAGTCTCCCGAGTGAACGAACGAACGAACGAGCGAGTGAAGGAACGGTGTATTTAAGGGGATTTAAATATGACCGCTTCCTCGAACAAACTTAAACGAAAACGCATTCTTGATGTAGATGTTATATTTATATGTATGTGTATGCAAACGTCGATTCCGTCGTTGCTGAGATTCCCGGAGAAAACTCGTCGTTCGTAATTATATTTCCAAAATTATAGAAGCTTTTTCCTCCGGGAATTCCAGAACGATCGTAGAAAGCTCGTATTCGCGGTGTGCGGTTCAGCGGCGATGCGTTTTTATGTCGTCCATTTTGCGTTAAATGCTGATGTTCCAATCCAATATCTAATATTCGATACGGTCAGTTGTGCATTTATCGTGAAATACACCGCTAAATCGTGTATAAATGTCGACGACTCTTGAAGGCTAAATCGAAGGTCCGAATTGATGAACTCGTACTTAATTGATTTATTATACCTTCGATTATTTGTGAGTATAACATCGTAATTCGTTGTAATTGTCTAAGACTCTCTGTCTCTCTTCCTAAAAACAGGGTTAACGAAAGGGAACCGTGAAACTGCCTTTAACGTTACGTAGAGATTCGTATAATGCGTCAATTCCCCAGTTAGAGATAGATGAATTAAAAATTTTCATTAATTGGAAGATAATTTATTTCTTTCAAGTGCAAGTGATCTTCGGAAGTAGAAATTTATTTAAAAATTCTCGAATTTTTTCCTGACGCCAACATTAAGGAGGACATTAAGTTAGGGAATTCGATTTGAATGTAAAAGCAAGATTTAGAAGAAAATCTATTTATTTGATGTATATCCTAAGAGATTTTATATTTAAATAAAATATAAAAAAAAGATAAAATTTAGAAAACTGCAAAGCGTCGAAACTCCGGTAACAGGAGTATATTTATTGAATTCGTAAATTCAGTAAAATGCGATTTTTATATGCATTCTTTTTAATTCACCTATCCTTCGTAGGGATCAATATGTGTGTCTTAAATTAACTAACACAAATTCTGAGATAAATATAGTTATATAAGATTTCGACATTCCTAAAATAATGAATTTAGTGTCGTTGCGATAATTATATGTCGTGCGCATTTACGGACCAATAGAGAATCGAGGATTTTATTACGATAATCCATTGCGTTTTCTATGTCGATAGAACCTCCAAGTTACTCTACGTATGTTAATCCAGTTAGCGCTTAATGTTATGGAATAGTGTTAAAACTTAGAAAACCAGACATTTATTTATATGTCGCTCGTCGGTGTACATGATAATAAAAGTTTTATACGTTTACTCGATTTCGCATGATTCATTCATTGTATAAATATGTCTGTAAACAGTTATAAACGTAAGTCAGACATTTATCAAGAGAAATCGCATCACTCTTACGAGAAAACAGAACTGACATGTATATTGAACACTGAAAGAGCGAATCTTATTGAAAATAAGGAAAATGCCATAATTTAAAAAATTATTTTAAATGGTGTTATACAACCATGTAATTAATCAAGCAATTGTATTATATTTTGCAACGTTTATTTTATTCTCAAAAATATTTTACATGATATTTCGTAATGTTTTAATTTACAGAATATATATCGCAAGATTTTTTATTTATTGTCGATGTTATATACATTATTTATATGTAATTATTATCATGATATAAGTATTGTTTATAACCTGTTAATCTCTATGCATGTTTTCATTATCGCCAATGAAAACTAGATATTAATCGTACGATATGCGATAAACTTTATTAACGTCGAGCTCTAATTGATAACTTTTATTAATATCAATCTTATCTGATTAGAAAAATATTTTAAGGCCACTCTTACAAATAACATGCAGTTCTCAATTAAAGGTCATTGTTCGAGATGAATCTGTTGCCCTCCGAGTTTTTGCCAGAATATCGGTACTTGCACTTGCCATACGCACCTCTATGATCGTGAGGAGTGCGCTGGGAGCTCGGCAAAGGCGTATAATGGATGTTGAAATAAATGTCGTCGAACTCATTGCTGGTCTGCGTCGAACTGGGTGCGGACTTGTGAATTAATTCCGGGACCAGTTTGATTGTTTTGGAATACTTGCCGCGAGTCTTAGCATTCGATCTCTCCTGATGAGTGACTTTTCGGGAATCTAGAAAGCGAAGACTCGGAGGTAAAACATGGATGGCGTATAGCCTGTAACGCTCGTAATCGTCTTCGTCGGTGGATGTCGGATTGGTTAGCTGATCGGGGCAGCCAGGATTGCCCAAGAGACTCACATACTCCACGTTGGGACAACATTCTCTTATCCTATCAAGGGCTTTGTCGATATTGAATATCTAAGAAGGAAGAAGCTTATCATTTGGTTTCTCCATGTCAAAACTTCTGTGCAAATGTGTACTAACAAATAGCGTTAAAAAAATTTAAGAAATAAAATGAAACAAATGTCTTTGATAAAATTTTGTACGCTATTTGAAAATTGTTCTCATAAGAACTTTATTACTTTTATTATTTTTTTGAGAAGAGCAAACCTTATTATTGTTCAAGCTCAAAGTGGTTAAAGTTGGTATACGCGGTAACGTTTTGAGACTGTCGAGTTTGTTGTTGTCTAGAATTAATTCCTGAAGTTGTTCAAAGTCTTTCACGCCAGAAATAGTGGTCAATTCGTTGTAGGAAAGGTCCAAGCCAAGACAATCGTGACCAACGACACCCATCAGTCCATTAGGAATCTTTTCCGCTCTTTGTCCGGTGTACCAGGCCTACATTATCGAAATTATATAAATGATATAAAAGTATTAAAAATAAAAGTAATAATAAGAATATGAAGAAAATAAAGAATGTGGAAAACAAGGTTTAGCTCTTATAAAATAAATTTTCGAATAAAAATTCTCTAATATTTATTTTTCATAAATCAAATTTCAGTCTCGTTTAAAAATTTAATTGCAGAAAATTACAAAACTCTCCTGATTTAATGTTTAATTTTGAGTTTAAGAAAATTCTGATTTAAGACAACTTTTACAAAGATATTAAAGAATAAATTCTCAAAAGTTGTCTTCCAGATATGTAGAGGAAAGTCCTCTATTGCAAGATAGGATTCTAATATAAGATAGTAGGTTCTCAATGTCCACATTCAATCACAAATCCTTTTTCGCAACGATTACACGATCTAACAATCAATTTTCCACTAAACAGATTTCACTCCAAGAGCAATAAATTCATGATGTAACCAACAGATGATGCCTATTAATTTAGCAAAAACCCCTCTATCTCATGATAGGGGACTTTCCTTTATGTCTTGAAAATATCTTTATGACGTTTCTTTAGATATGTGTGCAGTATGGATTGTTACTATCACTAATAACCTCTACTTAAATACTTATTTCCGACTTCAAAAACCATAATATTTATAAGCATAAAAAATTACATGATCATGATTCGTTCTTTATACACAGAAGTGACTTAAGTATATCAGCTGTGTCAAAAAGAAAAGAAGAAGTCGTTATCAATTGTCTCAATAAATATAAGATTTATTCTTTTTAATTGCACTATCTATACTTTCTCGCCGTTTCTTTTTCCTTCTAGAATTAACCGCGTGCTATCTCCACTTTGTGACAGCGAAAAGTGTAAAAGAGTGCGGCCAGAAACGCAGATCGTTGGCATTATCAATCAACATGTTTTGGACATGTGTACCGATTAAATGTTATTGCGTGCAACAAAAATTGCAAAGCGATTACCCTTCCGCTGTCGAGCGTCAAAGCACTCCTGTTGAAGTCTTGCTGACCGTAGCCCGCCATGTTGAATGCCACGCACAGAGAGAGAATTATCGCCCAGTTAATGACACAGATAATGTGTACATATGTTCGTGTGGCCATATACATTATTACCACAATATTAAAGTCCGATATGCTATGTTTGTAATCTCATGTGCATATGCGGCTCGTTGGTCTAGGGGTATGATTCTCGCTTAGGGTGCGAGAGGTCCCGGGTTCAAATCCCGGACGAGCCCGTTTTTTTTATTCTTTTATTTAGTCTCAAAATTATAGTAGTTGTAGCAATTAAAAATATATCGTGCATTTATTAACACTATTAGAATAATTGAACACTGTTCATCTTATAATTAACGGATTACTGGAAGCGCACACAATTGCTATTACTTTTCGTTAAACTTTACAGATAATTGATTCTTGTCTTATTTCATTTTCGTGGGTCTTAAATTCTCTAGATTTTAAGATTAAATTTATTATATATATTACATTTCTGCATTATTTATATATTAATTCTGTAACATTTTTCATCGTATAACTAGCATTGGTCACATGTATCACATATCACAAAAGCATGAAAAACACAAATCTAAAGGTAAAATGCAAAGCTACTTAATTTCATAATGCAGTAAAATGTTAAGTTACTAATTAGTAATTAAATTTTACTATGTTATGAAATCATTCAAAGTTTTCTTATTCTTTTTCAGCTTATGTATCATGTGAGATGTGTTACTTATTCTCAGAATTGGAGCTTTGCTGGAAGAAGCACCTGCTTCACTCTCAACTTTTGAATGTATTTGCTCATCACCATCCAATTTATCCTGTACAGACTCGTTCCTTGACAAATCGGGAAGAGCATTCCCATCAATTTTTGGACCATTAGTGTCACTAAAATGAATATATAAATACAATAAATATTTGATACATCATATACTTTAGGGCACGTCGCGTTGTACCTTGCGCCGTTCGAAGATATTTCAGATTCTAATTTCGCGTGTGACTTTAGCATGTTTATTTCATTATAAAACTGAAGCACAGATTGGAAAGTTTTTACAAAATCAGTCGCAGCCGAGCATCCAGCAGCATCAGTGTGAAACAGTTCTTCACTGAATGGCTTCGTAGCAATGTATTCTACAAGATACAAGTAATGATTTTTAACTTTCACCTCCAAGAATTAATATCGCATTGGACACTACGCAAGAAACGCACTCCTAATCAACTCCGCGCCTTCCGCTTTGTATTCTGCGATTTCTTCATCCTTCTGTTTCACCAGATCCAGCAGAGCTGTGTACCGGCGAAACAATTCTATTGACGACGAGCAGAGAGGCATAGTCACGTTCTCCCAAAACTGCTGCGGCGTTCCCTTGAGGAGATCCAACGAAAACTTCAATTTTACGAAATCCTTGTCTCTCCGCAGTTCTATTCGATATGCAGTAGCTTCTAGAACGTTTGTGTGCACGTATTGTGGGATATCGTTTAACATGTCTAGTACCAGTTGCTTCCAGTCAAAAGCCTCGAAATTTACAAGAGGATTCATGGTCTACAAATTAACACGGTTCATTATATACGGGCGTGTATCATATAAGAGGATGTTTGTGAGAAAAATATTCTCAGTACTTGTAGAACAAATTTTACAACTTATTCTTTTCCTTTAATTCACACTTGTTGAAGAATAAACAATTATAATTTGTACGTATAAGGTATTTGAGACGATTCGAATACCTGACATTTGTGAAACATCGTTTCGTCTGTCAGAATCTCCGTCCAAATTTCTATTTGGTTTGTTAAAAGAACTTTCCACGATTCATTTTCCTTTGTAAAACATACCATGTGGTCTTTGTCACTTATCTTAATGTTTTGCCAAACTCTGCCCTGCCCGTAGCGATCCGAAATCATATTCATGTCGCGTTTCCCGACCGTGATGGTAAAAAAGCGAACAAATTTGATATTACAAAATTTTTAATAGATTGAAATACTTTAACGTGTCACACGATATAGGTTATCACATAACCTTAGACATGGTCTTGTTCAATTTACTAACACATTTTTATAAATTGTCTTACATTTTATTTTACAATTTATACATAAATCTATACATATTATTCTTTAGACGTAAAATTTTGAATGTATACTTATTTTGATCAATGTTAAATATAGAATTGATTGTCGTGAAACGACAGTGTATGTATCGCTGTCCACACTCCACGGTGCTTCGATATATATATCGATTGTAACACAGTTATCGCGTTGCTGTTGGATGCGCACGCAATCGCATTTTAATCGATACATCGAACATCAAAATAATGTAAAAATCACGTAATTGTTCACACACACCTACAAACCCGTTATCCCTTTTTTTAGCTTCGCCCTTTCTGGGAAAATAATTTATGTTACATTCCTGAACAATGCCGTTCTATGTTGAATATTAAATTTATCGATCAGTCTTTTCTTGCGATATGTCGATATCTCGAAAACAGTGATTCTCAAACAGAGGGATAGCTTTGGATATACTCGTAGACATAATATATCTAGACTGAGCATTGAATAGTGGGAGTAAAGGTTCACGTAGAAAAGAACAAACTCTGTTTTGTGCTATTTCGTTCTCTTTCGTTCGCATGTAATCAAGAGAGAACGAAATAGCACAAAACAGAGTTTGTCCTTTTCTAAGTGAACCTCTACCCCCACTGCTCAAACAAAGGCAAACGCTCAGTCTAGTTATATTACGTCTACGATTATATTTCAAAAGCTTAAAATAAAATACTCAAAATTATAGAGTAAATTATAAATTCTAAAGACTGCACTTTAACAATTTGATGAATTTTACAATTACTCAATATGTGTTACATCTAGTTTTATAATAAAACAATTAAAAACGCATTCTTATAAAAATATATCCTTTACATTTATTATTTTATATTTTGCTAAAAACAATATTCTAATTGATACAAAGTAATAATAAAAATATAAAAATGCAACAAAACTATCGTAAAAAAATAATTCAACCAAGAATATGATTGTAATGTATCAGATCTGCCATTCGGCTTTCTCCGATTGCGTGTCAAATACGATTGACTGTGCTTGCGGCTTGTCGCAACTTTTGGATGTATTTTTCCGCCTCGATATCTCCTGCCAATTGGTGAACACCAGAGGATCGCACTTGCTCATATAAAAGCATTCGCGAGATTTATCCGCGCGATTCTCGCACAATTTCCCAGACGACGGGAAATTTTCGGTTTTACGTAAACATGCCTTCGATGCATTGCTAGATACTTTCTCTCTTTTCGTTATCAGATAATTGCGAAGCAACATGCCACTGCATTTCGACGAGAGTTCGAGAAATCCTTTCGCGAAAGCTTGATCAAACTCTGCACATCGCTTTTTCGTTTTACTATTCCCTACAAAGAAATATGGGATTTATCAATTAAAAGATTATGTTATATATATTAAAAATTAAGCATTAACTTTTATTAATAGATATCTATTAATAATATTATTACTTATTTGATTATCGATATAATAATTCTTATTTTTATTTATAAAAGAAATTGAAGATATACAAAAAGACTTTATTATAGCTGTACAATAGATCTTGTGCATTACTGTGCATGTTTTCCTTAACATTTTCCTCTTTAACAAAAGTTTTATTTAAGTGAGTATTAGATGAACCACATTTTCTTTCCGTTTTATCGCGAAATCTTAATTTTAAGCGAGGATTTCCTACTTCGTCTGTACATTGTGATGTCATTACATGTTTCGAGGCTACATGCTGTAATAAAAGTTCCTTGGAGAAAGTTGCAACAACCAGTTCGATTTTAATTATTAATTATGTTGTAAATTTTTTTTAATTAAACACATTCTAATCCGATCGATCTAACCCATAGATGCATTTGAATCAAAATTAGTTTAAAGGAATGGCTCAAAGTAAATCAATGTTAAGTTCTATACCAATGTTCCAAGGACTTGCTCTTTTCTCCTGCATCTCGATGCTAAGTTGCTTAAAATATCCTTGGTATACGCATTCAATTTTCTTGTAATACTCGACAATTCGTTATATTCAAGTTTGAGCTGCCTGACGAGGTAGCTCTCAACCCCTGAAATCGATATGTCAGGCTCGACCGTATTTTTGTTTAAAAGGTTGCAGGATACTCCTACATCCTTGACCAGAACGGCATCTTGAGAGCCATTTGCTCTATTACTTCTGTAAAGAGTCAATCTTCTATTGTCAATTCTCCCTTCAATTACAAACTTCTTAATAAAATGAAATAAGGAAAAGTAATAACATAACAAATAAACCAATTCAATCCGATAAGTGATGATAAAGGTAATATTACTAATCAAAAATGTCTTTTATATGTTTTATCATTATATTGTCACGAAGAGATGAAATTAGCACCTGTAATAGGAAAATCCGCAATAATCTACTACATTTTCGACACTGCTTGGCTGTCGCAAAGAATGATTCTGGAATATTGCGAATTTATCGCGCACATAATCCCCCGGGACATTAATTGAATCCGATGGTATCGTTGAGGCATATCGAGTAATCGGATTCTGATCTCGTCGCGAAAGGAAAGCGTTCTTGGAGTCCTCCGTGCCGGAAATCGCCGAGTATTTTCTCCTCGTCGACATAATGATGGGCGCATCGCCCGCTTCCGGGGAGGCGCTAATTGCGCACACCTCGAGAGACAAGTTCTGCCAATTAGTCGATGGGATCGCGGCTTGCGTGCGATAGGCGAGTACACGCAGGTATCCACATACAGCACATTTGTATTATTACGTTTGTATATTCTATTCGTGTGTTAGTTAAAATTACCTAAGAATTTAGCGCGAGGGCAAATGTAGCGTCGCACGTACGCCATATAGGGAAGACAATTGCTTATTAACGGATTCATCGATTGAGCGACCGATTAAAGAATTCGTCGATTGTGTGTAATTACCGAGATTCGGAACTTTCTACGGCCCATCACCGAGAAGCACAAGCAGGTACCATATCTGTGTTCCTGCCGTGTGTTTTCGGGTTCATCCATAACATCGTACTGAAATCGCGACACTACCGATCAATTTTAGGAACCGGACGGAGAGGATTGAAAATATGCTTCTTTACACCAAAATGGGGTTACATTTACTTCTCGAAAGATTGATGGAAAGTGATTCTTGCGATCTATGGATAACTTCATCGGCATTCATTGAAAAATCTGCGCGAACATCCGTTTTCTATTACATTTTTTATTCTTTTGGCGAATTCTTCTTTATTAAGAAATAAAACTAAATTTGAAACATATAAATAAAATGAACTAAATTTAATCTAAAAAAGTATATTAATTCTAATTAAATTAATAATGAACTAATTTCTTTTAAGTTTGTTCTTCTTTTGTATATTAAAGCTACAAAGAAACAAATCTTTTAGGCCTAAAAATATTTTTGTAAACAAAACGATTATATTTGAAACAAGAAAGAAGTTGCATTTGAAATCTCTAAAGGTTTCTAAAAATTATTCTTTATTAATTTCACGATGAATCCGCCACTGAGTTGGTTGTAAATATGAAATTCTACGCCACTGGCGGTTTATTTTCTCCGGCCAACAATCGCGGTTTACACGACGACGGTGATGGCGGCGCTACCGGATCGGTCATCGTCTTTTGAAGCTTCGGGCACCCGAGACATTAAAATATATTCTACAGTATATTGTGTCCGTTATATTAGTTAATTAGTAAAAAGTATAAGTCAACTTCGAAGTGAAAATAGATAACATCAAAATAGAGTGTTTAATGTAAAATATATAATTATAATAGTTATTACATCATATCACAAACATGAAGAACTTTGCTCCTTAGAAGAAAATTTTAAAACACTATCATTTTGTTCTAAAACAATTCTCAACAATTAGCTTTTAAGACCTGTTCTTCAAAGCTTCACTCTTCTACGATTTTCCACTCAAATTCTCGATATAACAATAATAATAACAAGGGAGATAACATTTCAGTACACGGCTCACTATCTAATATAATAAACCCTCTTCTTATTTGCGTTCCTTTTTCTTACACGCTGCTATGTTATCCTCAAGAAATTCAAAGGCCTGTAATCCTAAGGGGCCCGTTCAGGTATACGTTACTGTGCCGATTTACCGAGTACGGTCGAGGAACAGGTCGCGACGTCGCGGCCCGACAGTCGCGTCGGCGCTCCGTTCGCCAGCCGTCGTCAAACCCGTTCTCCTGCCGGAACCCTCTAGCGTGCCTTCGTTGTCCCGCTCGATGATGTATAAGTCATAGTGCGAGATTCGTTATCTGCGGATTCGAAGGGTACGCGAGTGTACGGAATCGCGCGTTGGATCACTTGAGGAATTATATTCGCCGCGACGATCGGGGTCCTTAGCGGTCCCCCGAGACCGCGATGTCTCTACGCGCCGCGGCGGGCCCGACTTGAGAAGACTCGCGACGAGGACAGAGACTACCAAGTGACTTGTAAGCAGTGTCCCAAAAAATTAATTGCACTTTTACAATGCAATAATATCGAAATAATAACGACTGGCCGACGGATTAGTGCGACTTTAAAAGAATTTCGTTACAAAATATCGTAATAATTAAATTAAATGATAAATTCTCGTTACTCATGAGTTGAGAGAAAGTAGCGACTACCGTTGGTTCGCCAAGGTTCGCACTCGGAAGAATTATATACAATGTAGAGGCGATGTCGGAGACTCGAGTGACATTTTTGCATCTACTTTTGAGCTAACTCGTACGTTTGGTCGCGACCGGAAGATCTGCTCGGTATAAAATTATGCACCAAACCGGTGCCTGAGAGATGTATCCCAGAGAAGGAGCGAACGCTGAAAAGATGTGCAGAGAGGAATCAAAGATTTGCACGGTCGACGAGAGGGACGTTAACGGCGATAAACGCAGCGTGACAATAATCTACGTGGTTCGAGAATAATCACTGACTCTATCAGCAATTCCCAGCGCTGTCCATCACCTGGACGGTCATTTCTGTGCGTCTGTACGAGTTACCGCTCGACTCTGCCATCGAATTGGACCTCCTCTACGGAGTACCATATTTGGATCTGGTTGTCGACGAATAGTAATTTCTGCTAATGAATAGAGATTAGATGGATGATTGTGTTAAGATCGGTGAGGTGCGCGTATCTCGTAAATATCGAGTGATCTGTGAATACCGAGGCGACTCGAGCGAGATCGCAGTACGAACCGGATGAGACGTGTCGAATGGAGTGACGCCGGGATTTCTCGCAGATCATCGTCATCGTGGATCATCGATGTAGCGCGATGTCGGCCTGGTGGCCTGTCGTGGCGGCGACGCTGTGCTTCTGGATATGCGCTGGTGAGTTTAATGCGGGACTACGCCGATTGGCAGAGTGGAATATATTTAAATCGCACTATATTCGCTAAATTTAAAATACACACCTTGAGCTCTGCAACGTTATTTAATTAACATAAATAATAAGTGAGGAATCTATCTAGAAAAACAATCCTAGTTCTGTAATATGCAGTAGGTACAAATATTCCGTGAAATTAGTGATCTAAAAGAAATCGCAGATCTCCAGAAGTAGAGTAAAACTATTGCGAAATTGAGGATTCAATAATCCAAGAATTTACCGACATTCCATAAAACGGAAAGGTATGTTGTTAGAGGTATCCGCACCTTTCTAGATGAACAGAAAACACTCTATGGTATTTGAGGGATCGATAATTTGTAAACTTTTATAAAGACTTAATGAGTATTTCAGAGAAAAAATATCTAAAAAAACACTAGCAATTTCGTAAGAGATGATTTCGAAATTGATAATTAATTCTACTTTTTTTTAATGTAATTGTTAACATTAATAAGCGCATTGTGTTCTTTTGGAGAGATATATCTGAGATGAGTTATATATATATATATATATATATACGCTTTCTAGTATGTCTTGGAGAAAGCTGCGCGCATTCGGATGTATATGGATGTTAAAGCGATCGTTACTCTAATATCTAAATCCGTAAGGCATTTTTTCACTTAGGGGAGATTAATTTTGCTATTCGCGCAAAATAGCATAGATGCAAAATAACGTCGTTACATGCGGTGTAGTAGATCTTGCTTACGCCAACGCGATTCCTTTCTCTCCAGACCGACTATGCTATTATAAGTTGCCTTGCTATGTAACAAGATACCTTTTGTGCAACAACAGTCTCGACACATTATTTTCACACAGTAATTCGTTTCCATTTTAAATTTATAAGAAGTCCTAGATGATTGTTAAATGAATCTTCTTTCGATCCTTTGAATCTTTAGGAAATCTTTGCAGATTCATCACAAAATAAAAACTGTATAGCCTCATTGAACTTTTAACAAATTATACAAATAACTCTCTTAGGTCTTGCAATAATTTTCTAATAAATTAATTTTTCTGTTATTATATATATTTATCTTAAATTCCAATCATAAATGTGATGGTAATATAATTTTATATTATAAAATATTATAAAATATATTATAGATAAAAATGACAAATAGTTAATACATGTGAATGCTATGATAATAATTATAGTATTCTTTATAAAAATAATTTTCAATATATAAACTATTGATATATGATAATTTCATATAATAAGTAACGTCAAGAAAGAATGTAAGAGTCTAGAATATCTAGTATAGCATAAAAAGAAACGATGTAATATTACCAATATATTGTTCAAACCATATTATTATCTATGTCATTATTCACAATCATTGTCGAGTGATCGGGATTTAAACAAGTAGAAAGTCCATAATCTCAAGAAAGTCTCGCGGAGGCCTTCAGACTCGGCCTTTTGTCAGGCCCCTCTTCCTCATCTCAGATAATTACCGAAGAAAGCCGGAGAGCAACCGATCGTGCGCGCGGTAACAGTTGCGACACGATTACGAGGATGCGCATTCGAGAGCGACCGAAGAATATAAGAGCAGACGATTGGTCGATATTTTGTACCTCCAGGAACGTGCGAACGTTGAACGTGAAAGACTTTAATTTGTCGAGTATGCAAATGGTTGTAATCGAGCCTCGCAATTATAACTCAATCCTTGGCAATGAACTCCGCGCAGGATGAGCTGTATTGCCATTTAACTCGTGACTCGTTTCCTATCTTCAAGAAAGATAGGAAAACGGGGTATCCTCTGGAACGCGTTCCGTAATGGAAACGAATGCAATCTTATCGAGCAATTTTATAATGAGCAATTAGTTCACTTGTTAAAGTGACAAATAATGAAAAGTACATATTCGTGAAACTGCAATGCTCCACTGCGTGGAATGCATCTTGAAGTTATTATTTTCAAAGAATCCACATTTGTGCATATAAAATGCTATACTCAAATGATTTATTTTATTTTATTGTCGAGAACCAATGACAAATCAAATAATTTAAAGTAAAGAAAATTCTAACATTCTTCAGTTTGAAATCATGCATAAGTACAGATCTCCTGTCGATCTTGTACACATATATCACACTTGACATGATTAATCCTTCGAGGAGTAATTAACGGCGGCCAGGAAGTCAGTGGTTTTACGAATAATTATAGCTGCTTCGCAGCGAGCTCTTCCTTTACACCAAAAACGTCATTTATGATTGCACATTAATAATCTTTCTTATAAAAATTTATCCTTTTACAAATTAATAATTCTTTTGCCAATATTTTCTTCTTCTTGTTCTTAACTTTATATTTTGATTTTTCGTATTCATAATTTATATCTTATTATTACATTTAATTTATTAAATTTCTTCCCTTGTATATAATTTGAAATATTCATACATTATAGTTTTTGAATATAAACGTTTGACATTGTACGCTATTTTCTCTTTTTCGTAATGTAGGTACGCTATTATCTACTTGTTTTCGATGTTGCAGTTCATGACCGCGGATCGTATAAATGCAAACATGCGACTGAATTTATCAGAATTTCTCGAGTTACGTGATTTGAATATAGTTCGATATCATTTGAAAGTTCAAGCAAAGTAGAAGTCGGAATAGCAACAGCTCTCGCTACGCATATTGTGTACACGTTGTAGCTACCGGAAAAATAAAAGCGGACAGTCTACGCATGCCAGGAATACTCGCGATAGCCCCGTAAACCTTCTTTTTGCGTTCTCGTTAACTGATACTATGCGGTTAGTTTCTTGCGAAATCTTTACCACGCAATTATTTTCCGATTCATTTTCCGTTTAAAGAAACTGATATTAAATAATTACAAGCAACAATTAATTGAAACTAAATAACAAAAACTGCAAAAATAATTTTTAATTATTTCACCTGGCGAACGTAGTATTGTTGCACTTTCTTATACAATATGTTTTGCACATTCGAATATTTATCAACTTGACGAAAAAAGAAAAGTGCCAGGCTGAATTTCCTCGTAAAATATATCAAGACTTGTCATAGGGAATTATCGTCAAAGCAGTAAAACGGTACACGAAGAAGGTCGAAGGAAATGCATGTAAATGGCGAGGACAAACTTTATTCGCAGCACCGGTAAAGCAGTGACACGATCGCAAACTCGCCAGACGCGGGTATTAATACGTTGCACCTGACGGTCGCATAACCAGGACGCAGACATTCGATAAAAACCAGCGGTTAAGTCTCACAATGAGAGTCCGCCTTGTTCAATCCCACCCCTCTCCAAGACAAAAAGTGCGAATATCTACATCTGAGGAACTGTTTAAAAAATGGCATACTTAATGGCACGCTGCATTGAAATGTAATTAGTTTTAAAGCAAATAACTGTATACATAAAAATATAAAATTTTATCAAGCACGTAATATTATTCGACCATATTTGGCGGAAATTTTATTACGAAAAATATTACCTACATGCCTGAGTGGTCTCACGTCTGCCTAGAGTGTAGGGAGGTCCAGATTCCAACCCTGGCTGAGGTAATATTTTTCGTAATAAAATTTCCGCCGGATATGGTCGAATAATATTACTTGTTCGGTTATTTAATACTGGCAAAAGAAAGTGTCACTTCTATAAAATGTTATTTTATAAAAAAATAGGTAATTATTAAACAAGCGAGAGCGCCTTTAGGTCCGAGCAAGATGGTAGCCCAATTGTAATCTAAAATGTGAATTCATATACAGTTTTCCACCTTGTCCTGCGCGGTTTCTTTTCGGACATAACACAATTTCATTTAGATGGAATCATTGTCGTCAGTGAATTGACATATTAAAATCGATAAACAATTTCTAATTATTTTAAAATGCTATATGTAGCATTCAATACCCTCTTCTCGTACTGTAAATTTATCAATATATTTAAAGAGTACAGAACATATTCTTCATTTTCCACGATTTGTGAAAAAATTGAAATCTCACACTGAAAAAAATTTCTGGTTGAATATGGACGAATCAGATAATTCCTTTAGGATTTACCAGAATTCCTTTAGGATTTACCAGAATTTCTGTAGGATTACAGGAATTCTAGTAAATCCTAAAGGAATTCTGGTAAAGGAATTATCTGATTCGTCCATATTCAACCAGAAATTTTTTTTAGTGCAGAAATATACAAACTTTAAATGATAATAGTCCGACATGCATTATTTTAGATTGAATCAAGAGAAAACGAAACGCGATTTTTAATTTAATTTAATTTTTTACTTTATTTTAATATGCCTCTACTCCGATAAATATATTAAAATTCTTTTTCTCACATTTATCACACTTGTTACCACTTGTTTTATTTTTTATCAAATAACCACTGGATGGCCAATTTAATTGCGTGTAAAAAAATAATTGTCAAATATTCCATTTGAATAAAAATAATTCGTTTTTTTTTACGAAGGCGTGAAAAAGGATGTGAAACGAAAGATCCTCTATGAAATTATCGGCATAAGTCTTCGCGAGAGAATTAACAACGCTCAAGCACAGAGACAGTCGTACAAACCGGGTCACCAGACACCGAGCAAGAACCCATACCTAACCTTCACTGACACCAAGACTCGTCGACCGTGCTGACGAGGGGGGGACGAAATGCGTTTCCACTGACTCGTAGAATTCCTTGCAATAGCACGGTCTTTGGGCCATCTTCTTCACGCGCACGTCATATCGCAATTTATTAGTCACGATGTGTTTACTTGCGTTGCGTGCCTGAACCCCTCTGCAATTCTGGTTTCCGGGGGAGACAGGTTTTCCCGAAAAAATTCCAATAAAAGTTTAACAAAACAAACGGATAAACGTATACCCGAAACGGAAACTTGACATCCAGATATAAAAGCGTAAAATAATATTTTTTAATGGTGAAAATGATAGAAAAGAGAAGTATCCTAGTAGACGCTAACTAATAGTTACATCAGTATTATAATTTTCTATTCAACAATGAG